ATCACACCAGGCGTCTCCCTCGTCGGCACTTTTGATGTGATTTCATGCGAGTCCCCTAAAATCGTCATCCTATACACTGGAAATAGCATGCGCATCGGAAAGCCCGTCTTCCGTAGCGCGGAATTGCTTTTTTATTTTCTCAGATCGGACCAGTTTCCGTGGAGTTATGCACGGATCAAAGAGACGACCTTTTGCCTTCCAGCTCTATTATGGGGGGGGGTGGCTCTATTATTTTGACCGTTACTTCCACCTAGCAGACGAACTTTTTCTCAGCTCCAAGTGAACCGATTTTTGAAAGTGAATAGACGAATCGACAGCTCTTTTCCCGCGCTACAAGATGCCGACCACACCGAGCCGATGCGATACCCTCGTCCCGACTTATGAGGGTTTTAAAATGAGATAGAAAATTTCGAAAATAAGCGATATTGAGATGGCTGTAAGTCCCCCAGAACGCATTCAAATGTCAGAAGTGACGTGTTCATTGGAAAGCTCATCCAATTCTCTTCAATTTCAAAAAAAAAACGTCCGATTCGGCGGAGTTTTTGAAAAGTTACGGGCCTCCGAAAAAAGAAGACGAAGTTTTTAGGTGGCTCTATTATTTTGACCGCCACTGTATATGCTTTCATAAACGGCTCTGGCGCCCACGACGCGCCCTATGCATCGCCTATATGACTTGAGTGAGCCGTGGCCATTTGAGTAACCGGCAAGACTTCCGAGGAGACATTGCCGTACGGAAAGCCTGAGCGTTCAGCGACCGTTGGAATGAGAGGCCCTGTGCTTCATAAGAATTTCGGAGGATATGCGCTATAACTATTCCATTTCCCGGGACGGACACCAAGCTTGCCCGAGCGTTGCTGTAAGCTTACAGGAAAATCTTCGTAGCGCCGCCATCGCACGTCCTCTGGACGCTTGTCCTCGGTTTCTGCAACGCATAACTTCCCCTGAAGTCTCATGTCAGCTCCGCTGGTAATTGAGAGTCGCTGAATGAGCTCGACTCAGGAGCGTACACGCCTACTGTATCGCGGAATGACGGATTGTCGAAGACTTCATCGTTTCGTTTGATCTAGCATCAAGCTCAGCGGACCACTCTGGTCCTCTTATCCGATCTCTAGGCCGAAAACGATGTGATAGACATCCTGACGTTTATACAGCTCATATCATCTCGAGGTCTAGCGAGTTTCCTTGATTCCTTCGGCATTATATCAAGGGCAGTGACTTCATCTCCACAATCTTTCTTATGAGACGAACGTGCGTCCGACGAGAAGCGATGATGCCGTCGACAGAATCCACTGCCGACTACCTATTCGCCTTCCCGGGTACTATTGGCGCGGGCAGGGAATAACGGCCCTCATGCGGCCCGATACCATTGTCGAAAGGCCACGAGAGGTTCTTTGTTCAATGTGGACTCCAATTGCGTAGTGGACGAGATGGAGACTCTATTAGACGTTCACAGAGAGACAGAAAGCGAATATGAGTGTAAATCCGGGTAATCTCCGAGCCGAGCGTCATTCAATAGCGGGTCAGCACATCAGAGGCTCTTCAGCATTGCACCACGAAGCCCCTTCTGAGTGTTTTCGCGTGAAAGTCATCTCCTCAATGCGGCCCGCTAACCGTGAAAATAGCATTCCCACATTCCAATGATTCTCACAGTGTTTGCATGGAGAAGGTTCTCTTCGAAGTCGAAATGAAAAACTACAGGTATCTGCGGGCGATCGAGAAATGCCTTTCCTCATTCTCAGAAACCCCGATTCCGTACGTGAGTGCGAGTTCGGCCACCTCATACAAGACTTCCGTCACACGAGCGTTCTTTCAACTGATGCGCCTGTTTTTCTGAGGGAACATATTCCGGTGAATACAGAGTAAACCAGCTCCGGATTTTGCGATCCTAGATTTCGAGGGCGAGCCCGTCGCTTCGGCGAGTCGCTTGATCAGCCTGCCATATTCACGGAACAATCTACTGGGTAGGGTCCACAGTCACAGGGGCTCCTGATCATTACGAGTCCGCCTGATCCTCTTTTACTGCCTCCATCGGATAGCGACGGACGTTTTTAGCATGTCATTATTCAGGAGGGATTTGATGCATCAATAAAGGTAATTAGGGGACGCTGCTCCACCACTATCCTTCGCGCGGAATATGAAGGGCTGTTGGGGGAAGGCTATTGATCATCTCTTCTTACCATCGTATATTTGAGGTGCTTCCACGAGCTCCATCATGCTCTAGTACACAGGGAAATTTCAGGCATTAGCGGCATTCTCAGGAATCTCCTACGAGTGGGAGCCGCTCATCCTGCTTCCTTTCCGCTTGGAGGCGCTTCGGGAGCGACAACCTAATATATCGGGATGCCACCTTACACGGATACTCGCATGCGTGAACAACGCTGGCTTATCTCTCGATGAGGATGCAAGACTTCTTGGAGGAGACGCTCAAAATCTGTCGATAAGGCAGTCTGATTTGGCGGGGTCTGAGGCTTCGATCGGTAAACGCTAGACTCCATTGAGCGGTTGACAATGGCGTGAATGAAACGACGGCAGAACAGAGTTCCTTCAAGTGAGCGTTTCTCGAGGGGGAGACTAAGTATCGGCTCGACACAGAGGGTCGGCCACCGAAACGAAGCGTACCTGAACTGTTCCCCGTCTCCTTAGACTTATGGATATCCTTGAAACAATTCCAAGGACACTCAAAGATACCTGACTGCTTCGTTCTGTCGTGCCTCGACCCGCCTATCGTCCTTGATGCCTTCCCAGCCATCATAAGTTGCTTCGTGTCAAGTATGAGGTCTGGTCGCTATGAACGCCCGCAGCCTGCTGTCAACCGCTGACGTAAAGCCCGACCGTCCGGCAGACAGCCGGATGGGATTTCATGCGGCAATGTACGATAGCTAACTCATGTCGCATTCACCGGGAACGAGCAAACATCCGTACTGCGGGAGTAGCCTTCGTTCCCTTGCTGAAGCCTGGAGGCGAATTTCCTGCTTCCGCATACAGCTTAGAGGCTGAGAGCGTAGAATCGCATAAGATCCGATTCGGATGGAGCTTCTCGCTTAATTCCTTCATCAGTATGTTCAGAGAAGCGATGAGTGTGGGAATCTTTCTCAATTCGTCGAGAGAGAAACGCGCGGCCAGGATCCGGAGTACCGAATGTCGCAGCGGCGAAATTTCCGCTAGAGAGCTCAAGGGCGCTAGCTTTCGCGGCCCCCGCGGACCCGATTGCGGACTGATGGCGCTTTGGGGCGGGCTTATACTCCGAAGTCAGATCTGCGCTTTTCCTGCACGAACCAGTACGCAAACCAGGATCAACCTCCTCGGATAGCGCTGAGAAAACGGCGCGTTGCATGTCTCGATCCAGATATCCTGACGCCAGGCGCCACTGGTGAAAGTCTTCAAGTCGAACTTCGGAACTGTCAATTCTGAGACAGGCTCATTCAGGGGGGGGGGTGCCTTTCGAGATGCCTTGTGGAGTTACAGACACTTCTGATGATAGTCCAAGAACATGTGCTGAGACTCGAGAGTAGTCTGGTCCGGAAACATTAAATGTTCAAGACCGGAGTAGGCGGTGAATTTCTTGTAAGGGTTATGATGAATGGGTTGAACCAGGGCGACTAGAGCAATATATCTTCGCCGAGAGGAATTCCCTTGCCGGGTAGCATGTATACCTAAGGAATTACCGGCGCTGAAAGAACACCGGTCGAGTTTGTCAGTCAAGCAGCCTCTTTCTTCCGGGACCACAGAGCGACTCAGAATTGAGAAGAAAGATTCCTCCGGAGATTGGGAGGCTGGTAACACTTTATTCTCTCTCGGTCTCAAGAATCTCTCCGGAATAATGCAGCCTTTTTCAATTTTCCTGAGATCCTCCGAGAGGGTTATTCGTTGCCGTGAAAGTGAGCAGCACCATGCAAACAAGCACCGATAGCAGGACCATGAGGAAGATTGATGACACAATCTGGGAGTAGAAAGATCGTGGTCCGATTGATTGCGACGGTAAATCCAAAGGAACGGTTGTTTCCTCGTAAACCGTTTTCCGCACGTGGTTCGAATCACATATTGCGCACTCTTTGAGGCCGACAACCGGAGTTTGTGAGATTGATTCCGACATCGTTTTCCTCCAGGGATAGCGGAACGCCGAACGCTCTCCCGATTTTGTCGGGATCTATGTTCATACCACGCATCCAAAATAATCCTCCTAGAAAACCGTCGCTTCGTGTTGATGCGCACCATCGCGTTTTCGATCCATTCGTCCGAAAATTTGGTGGGATTGAATTTGGAACCGCATTCCTCCCCGCTCCCCGCCATGATGCCGATCTCGAGGCGGGCGCATTGTTGTTTCTCGTGCCCTACCTTGTTTCCTTCCAGCTCTTGCCAGCTGCCAGCTCGCTTGGTAGCGTCCTCGTTCGACATCTTGTATGCGGGAGTCGTCCCACGATGTTTCTGTATCATCCTTACCGTTTCGTCGCCGTCAGTTGGACACGTCTCAAGGGAGCGGATGGCGAGACTCCGGGTCTGCGTGAGTAATTTCTGAATACGGGAAGCTGATCGCGGTTTTGGCGAATCAGCTGCCGGGTATGATGGGGTAAATCCAAGGATAATGGAATGCCCAGGAATTGATTGGGTCTGATGCATGGATTTCTCCTCGACGCGAAGGCTCTGAGCGATACAAATAGAGAGAGCGCATGGAGAAATTAATGCTGCGTGATTCCCCTCGCATTCGCGTTTCAGCTGACGCATCCCAGTGAACGTGATATCGAGCTCCAGATCGGAGGAGGGGCGTTCGAGCGACTCCTGGTGGCGGATACTCACAAAACCCGAGTCGAAGTCTGAGTGAACGTCTGTAGTGCGGAGACTATCCTGTCTCAGATTGAAAGTGCTACGGGTCATTGCATGTGGTTCCTTACGCAGAGATCTCCGCGATATGCGCAAAATGGGGCAGGAGGATCCGTTATCCGGAGTCGGAACGGGAATCAAATTCTCGAAGCGATCCTGCTGTGTGTACACTGTTTTGCTGTCTACGGGTCCCCGGGGAGAGCTCGATCATGTTTTTTCTGGGATGAGCAGCCCTTTCTAGAGCCTCCCTCCGACCACCGAGGACAAACTCTTTGAGTCATCACTGAAATGTTGACATCCATCTCCAAATGCGTTGACTTTCCCCTCTCGCTCCGAGCCGAACCGACGCGATGCTACGGGAAGTCCCGTAATCTGGTTACTGGCAATCCATTTCGAAAAAGCAGAATCGAATCGGAATTGAATTGCTATTCGCCGAAATTCAATTGCTCATTGAGCAGTCCGTGAGACGGAGTGTGCGATCACTTCCCAGCCACAGTCTGCAAACTTGAAGGTTTGTATCGGCTACTTCCACCCGAGAATCTCGCTGAGATTGCCGGCGATGGTCTTCCTGAATATTCCTATTTGTCCTAGCATTCCCTCGAATGGTTGAAAGAACATGGAATCATGACGTGATGGTCAACAGTCAGGCGAAAATTTCTCCTCTTCTCTCCCATGGAGAGTCCCATGCATTGTCCATCGCACTCACCCTGCCGCTGGAGGGCTCGAGTCAACCGGTCCAGAGCACGCTGGTGACGGAAATCGCAGAAATTGGTGCCGCGAACGAGGACTGCATACTGCAAACTGTATTTTGGCTCCGAACGCTGGTGGATATATGGTGGAATCCAGCGGAAGTGACTTTCGGCAAAAGCGCCAGGGGTCTCCAAAGCAACTCGGAAGAAACAGTGAGACAAGTCTTTCGCTAATGACAGAGAAAATTGCAAGTCGCAACCTCTAATTACCAGAGTACTGCTTGTAGATCCTGTTTAGGGGGGAAACCGTCATGATTTTTCCCTAAGATAGATCTCAGGTCTCTTGAGAGATGAATCTCAATCGATAGATCGAGTTTCTGCTATGCATCGAGAGCGAGAATAAGACCAGGGAATGGAAACGAGTTTCATCATGATTTCTTGGAATCAAGTCGACAGTGTACACCCTACCCGTATGTGAGTACTCCCGCGTCCCGTCAGAGACCTCCCAACCTCCCACCTATGCTGTTCGAGTATCGCCGTAGATGATCTCGTCGCACCTATCTTGAGTACTCGTTTGGGCGCAATCTTCGAATGTGAACGCGAATATCTAACTAAGCAGTACGATTACACACCAAACTCGAGAATTCTGACCGAGCTCGAATCCTCCATTCAATTTGATATAGAGCCGTGGATCTTTATGAGTCTCGAAGACGAAGATGATCTGGTTTACGATACAATACCCGTTTGGATCCGAGTAATCGAAATCTCTGAAAATCCATCGGATGATTAGCTAGAACTAGCTCAAATCATCCATCCATTCTCGACAGCCCCGCGCTTAGGATGGACGATGCTTTGGGGCAGCTCCGATAATCCACGTCGCTGGTTAGAATCGTGCATCAAAACGCGATCTTAAGCGGAGCTCAGGTCGCATCGGAGCCCGAGAAGATCTTCAAGAGCTATTCTGAGCGTGATTCCGAGTTTTCTTCTGGCTTTGGTCTCCTTAGCTGAGACCCTTGGCCGGAGCTCGTTGCCGGGCTTGTATAGGGGGACACAGAGCTACGAGGGAGCGACCCTTATGCGCGGATATACATATGATGGGTAAGATCCGTGACGGCAATCGTCGAAAGAAAAATAGGCCGCGCCAATGCTTCTGGGTACCGTCTTTTTCTCTCCACTAGAAGAGTTTACAAATATTCATTGAATCCTGCCTCGAAACTCAACTTGAGACGGGGCTCGGCGTTCGAGTTTCCTCAATGTACTCTCACAACTTCATACAATTGTGCGCTACTCGATTGATCTCTCCATCTGGGTATGCTCGCCAGCAAATCCGTTCCACTCTCCAACAGATGGATACACTCTCTCGAACGAACTCAATCGCTATGATTGCTCCGCATCCAGTGACGGGCAACAATCGTCCTACGCTGAAATGCGGTCCGCTTCCTGTCTGGAACGTCACCCATGTATACGCCTTCCAGGTGATCACGGAGAAGTCGATGAGGGTGCGTCGCTACGTAGAATCGATCCTGGGCGCAGAGTCTGAACGCGCCGATCGAGCTCACTGTGCATGGGTCATTATGTCGTAGACAGGCATCTGGGGCGAGCAAGGATCGTCGAGTACTTCCAGGTCCCTTTCTTGCGCCGGATTCTGCAAAACCTCTCTGGAGCGTGAAATGAATTGAGGCTTAACGGCAATCTGACGTCGCGGGCCTCCGTCCTTCGTGGTGTTGTTCATAGCGATATCCACACTGTCCCCTCGGCGAGCGAGAATCGCTAAGAAGCCACGGCGGAACCTTCGGTGAAAGAGAGTTAATGTTATCGATTCCGCGGGGCCAGACCGGCGGAAAAGGCCTCCCGAGCGCAAAGAGTGTTTCAAAAGCGGAGACCAATGAATTTGACAAAAGATCGATCGCAGGTTTCGACTCTGAACGATGTCGGTTACCGATTCTCGTCATCTTATTGGGCAAACCGTTGCGAGTCACGGGCGATTTCTGGCGGATATTGTCTAAATTTCATCGTTCCCCATGCATCGCCGCAACGGTGGTTGCCATCACTCACCTCTGGTTGAAGTAGGCGTAGAAGACCGGGTTGATGCACGAGTTTGTCATTCCGAGCCATTGGGTTAATGGAATGAAGAGTTCAAGAAAGTCTGAAGCTGTCTGAAAGAAAGAACTTGTCTCTGTCAAGGAGAGAAGAGTCGAGGCGTGTCACAGCCCACCGTTGAATCGAAAGATCTAATTCTTCAATGTTCCCCCCGCGGTGAAATTTGTCCAACTCCCTTGCCTGACCTTGTCGTCGCTCTCTGGATAACCGTAATAGAGGATGTAGCCCTGCACGCTGTACAGAGGAGCCCAGGATACGAAGAAAGTGGAGACCACGCAAATCATCATTTTGACCACCTGATGGACGAAGCTATCTCTAATCGTATGCTTGACTTATGAATCAGTGATCGAGGCCTTCGACTCTCCACCAAAACTCGGTCGCGAAATATATTATTCCTCATTAATCTCAAAAGGAGAAGAGATTGCTGGATACCTTGAGTTTTGATCGTTGAACGACGGTCCGATTGGAGTCAGACGATTTGTGCACACTTTCGCCCGGAATCGACCTCTTCCAGACAGTTACGAAAATCATTGCGTAACTCACTGTTATAACCACAAGCGGGAAGGCAAAACAGCACACGAACAAAGCGAAAACCGTGAACGCTATGCGGAACCGCTGGAAGGTAGACTTGATTCTGTGAGGTACGCAAGCATTATGCAAAACTAGAATACGTAAGGTGGCCGCGATGAGCTCCAGTGCAGTCACCCAGGATGGTCTCTCTAAGGCAGCTAGTTGGAGCCGAGCGAAATTCGGCATGTGGGTCATGAGCGTTGTAAATGCCTCACCTGAGAAGGATAGTTATCCAAGCAGTTCTCAAACACTTGCCCGTCGAATGCTACGCCGACCCCTTGGTACACCGCTATGGGACTCATCAGCACGAGGGAAAATGTCCAGATACCTGCGATAATGTGGCGTACCCGGTAGTGCGGGATTTGGAGCACCAGGGATTTACTGCAGATAGCGACGCAGCTGTAAGATCAGAACAATTCCATACAGTTAGCAGCCTCATCAGAGTAAGGAATCAAGACCCAATGGGCGTTGGCGCTGCTTCGGTAGAGGCAGGGACCCCTATCGAAATCGGAGCTCCCGCGGTATATTCTTCCCGGAATAGGACTCTGCACTCTGCTCGTGTTCCTCGCTTGGAGACCTTGAATTATTCAAAGATGTCCGTCAGCGCTCGTCGAGTTCGTCTCGTAAAAGCGTCTGGGTCCCCGACAATGACGGGAATGATGTAAGTCATTCGCCCGAAATCTCCTAGGTGGCCGGCGAACCAGGTCCTGCGCGGCAGCGCTCAGACTGTCGGCTTAGTTCATTGAGACGGAATGGTTCGTATGACCCCTTACACGGAGACTATCGCTTCTTCCGAGACTGCTGTCTAGGGTGCGGAGACAGGCTCGAGTTTCTGTGCGAAGATCGCAATCGGAGGATGCCGACGGAACATCAGCTCCTCGTTGAGCTTGGAACTCGCCGCTACTTTCGGGAGATCGCAATCGATGTATACATTTTCGACATTGAACGATGGATCGAGTACAGCAAAGGATGCGGATGAGCTATGTATTTTGACGGTACTGGTAGTACCATTCCCCGTCGCAGGAAAAATTATCATCGTGCCGATTTCGACATGTTTACGAACCGGATCTGCAAAGCCGAAATGATTGGGCTTCCATCGCCATTGAACACAGAGTCTGTCTGAGACGAAATCGGCAAGAGAGGGCTGACTTTTTCCTCGAATGGTGATTAGTAGGCACTCTTGCTCTTCATCGCTCGTTCGACCTATCGTGTATGGCAGGAGAACGCATGAAAAGCAGCAATTATCAGGGATGAGCGGCATCGAGAAAACCTATCTCACTCCAGCTCGACGAAAGTCGAGACCATTAGGGAGTCGAGCCCGTACTTCCATTCCCATTAGTAGCTCACAGTCAGCTCTCGAACAGCGAACCTCAATCGATGGAGGGTATCCTGGGTAGGGAGACGTTGGCATCGAAGAGAAATTATTCCGAACCACCGACCGCTTCTTGTAGAGCGACGCCACCGAGTGAGAACAATGAGTTCCTTCGGCTCGAGCCCCAAACTCTTATTAATCAAGCGAATGCTTTTGTTCTGGACGACTATTAGGTTGTCTCGTGGACGATGCCAAGCAGCCGATGGGCTTTTGCCGATGGGAACTTTTGGACTTCCAAGTCTCTCAATCTGCGGAGTTCATCTCCAACAGGGACGCGACCTCGGACGATATCCTGAACTTTTCTCTAAACGCGGGTAGAGACCACTACAGACCACTTTTGGAATGGGAAGCGCGGGGGCTTATTCCATGGGTCTCTTATGAGCAGGAACGTGAACTTCTCGCGGTGGCCGCGAAACTTCACGGGGACCACGATTCCCAGCGATTTTCGCGTCGTTTGAACACCTGGTCCTTGTTTCGCCGGATTTTCTTCGAACAGCCCTGGAGAAACTTCTCCCTGATCGGTAAATTGGGCTCCGAGAATCGACCGTGATCCGATCCCCGACAAGGTTCGCTTAGACCCTGGGACTGCTTGAGCTAGGCCACGAGCTCGGAGAGACGACCGCATGAGGACTCGCCACGATTTCGGGGCGGAATCCGTTGTCAGGATCCACTTTCGCTGCCCAATGATGGGGTATTGCTCTTCTCTGCGATTTCGGGGTTCCTCGCGGTATTCACGATTTTCTACCGCGAGACGCCGCGATCCCAGCGATGTTTTGCCGCAAATAACTCACATCTCTAGTGATGGAGCCTCGAGTAATGAAGCATGGACATGACTCGCTTTTTCTGCCGGTCACTACCGTTTTCCTCTCTCCGGGAGAGTCCGACTCAAAATAGGTCAGCTATTGACAGGGAAATACAAATCGTCTAAATTGTCTCACCGATCCACGGATATGACCACCAGAGTCTGTATCGAAGCCGAGACGGTGACAGCTTGAAGGAACGACGTGAGCTTGCAGAGCTCGGTCCCGAGGAGCCAGGCTGAAATTCGAGAAACTTGCGATTATCACGGGGGATTCCGGTGACGGAGCCGATGTCCGCCCGCGACACGGCAATGAGATCAGACGCTCCAGATCCAGCGGGAGCATCCTCCTCTCGATCTTCCTGATAATCTCTCGCTCCAATTTCCGAGGATAAAACAAACGATAGCGTAAGACACGATAGGACTCCCGGGAAGGAGTGAGGCAGGGGGCGATGCCCCGGACAGTATCAGTGATATAACAATGATAATTTTTCTGCGGATGGATAGAAAGTCGAGACGGAAGCATGGAGTTGGTATGGGGCGGCATCAAGTTGGAGGTCCGTGAGCGCTGCGGAATCGGAGGGGTCCCTCCCAGGTCCACGATATCTATTTCCAACCCCAGGAATCCTCCAAAGAGTCCACTGATTGAGCGTCATCAGAAGCGAAAATGCAGCCTTTCGCTGAACCAAGCAGGCTTCGCTGAAAAGTCGGGGATTCCTCCGTGATAGAAGTATCGAAAGCAGCAGATCGCCTGCAAGGATTCGATTGCTTCTCGCGTGTAGATCCACTCTCCATTCTTTCCCGACCACATGAGAGTCTGAGAAAACTCGGGAGGGGAGGAGAAGTCTGGGAAGACCGCGTTGTTCGAGGGGGATTAGAAACTTTTGTTTCATTTACAGTGTGGGTGAGAGCTTATCAATACCGACAAAGCTTTCGTCTGCCTGAGTCACCGGACCTGATGGAATATTAATCACAGACCCTTCCAGCTTCCAAAAGCTCCGCTCGTCAGGCGGGAGATAAGAGAGAAAGTTCGTCGTGTGAACTCGAACTGACGGCTAGGCTTGGACACCTTTGGTAAGAGGTTTGAGCGAGCCCGAGCTCGAGTATTCTATTCATTGTCATCGGTTGAAACACGGTGGGCTCATCAGTGATCCAAAAGCATCCGGAATTTCGAAGGGGCTGTTTTTCGGGGAGCTTCTTCGGTCTACTAATCGGAAGCCTCCCAGCCTCGTATTTCGGACCTCACCGTGTGAACTCCGATTGTAAACTCCGCGGCGCACTAACTCGCCGAATGCTCAACTCGGACTTATGCCGCAAGTGTGCAAGCAGTCCACAGAGGAGGATCCGTCTCCCTCGGGCTCACAGTATCGGTTAAGCGACATCGGATATGCACAGCAGACCCTGGCATCGCTCGGAGATAGTCCGGAGGCCGGCCTCATACCACCTCCTCTCCGAAGAGTTTGTGGCTTGCTGCAATAAAATTCCTTACACATTCCGAACACAGCAACATCTTCATCCCCGGCTCCGCAAGGGTTCTCCGGATGACATACCTAGTGTCGTATGCTAAGCAGCCAGAACCCACTAGGGAGCAGCCTTCATTCATTCAGACTTCAAATAGAAGCGAGGGGCTATCGACTCTGACGAAGACTCCGTCCAGGACTGCTGGAATTATATTCAGGAGCTTGGACGGGAACTCTGAAAAGGATTTCGAGTTCGAGAATATTCAGTACGGGTGAAAGATGTGTTTCGGAAGAGAGAGAGGAGGGTAGATGGTGCTTCACGGACGAGCGCTGCGTCCATTTACGCCGGCGGGGGAGGAAATCGCAGTGTGATTTAGCTAGGCCATTCATCACGAACGTTTTCCAATTTGATGTGCGTTGAGTGTTCTTGGGTAGTTCCTGCGTTTGTTTCCGCACACACTCGATCGCTCGAAACTGTCGGCCCGCTCGGATTGCGCCTGAAGAGACGATAAAGCCATCGATGGATAGATTCCGAATTCGACGATCAGCATTCACGGCCCGTGCCCGGGAGGGAGGCTGATATGAGCAACTGATTTGCGGGTGTCTCGAGCTTTCACAGACAGAGTCATCATTGGCGAGTTCCACGCTCCAGATTAGATTTCCTCGGAATGCCTTTGATTATCGATCTAAATTCATAAGGTGTTCAGGATTCCGCTCACAGAATTCCAAAGAAAATCGGTGGTTAGTCGAATCGTCACGGCAAGGGTCTCAGTCCGCGAGACCATGTCCAGATTATTACCTTCCCCGATGCCCATTGAGGATAGCTGAACGATGCCGACTCATCCCGGGATGAGAGCAAGACTTCACCAATCACCCCTCCGGCCGTGAGCGTCTCGTGTGAAATAATGTCAAACTATCAACGTCTCAATGAAACAATAGAAACTTCCATGGAGGAAGCAATGATAAGATCTATGCACAAGGAGTTATCGAAGTCTCGAGATTGGCGAGTCCGACGCTAATGAATATCTCCGCAGCGAATCTCTGCCCCACACGGTACGCCGGACCACCATTCGCTCCAAAGGACCCCCGATAGTGAGAGAGGGCGACCCGGGAAGACATGCCAAATGGCTAAGTTGCACTCAAGCATGATATCGGCTCTAATATCGAGACGGCTCATGCGACACTTGCAAAAGAATTGCGGATATGTACAAGCCTGCGCAGTGGTGCACAACGAAGGGAGTAACGGCCTGAAGCGATCCGGTGGACAGTCTGGTGGACGGATGTCATCTGGCACGAAAGATGCTTCCTGATCCTCTAATCGCGACCTCGACAAGCCGGGCTCCCCTAGTCGGCAAAAAAGGCCTCCGGTTCACTTAGTTAGCCATAATTCCCCTGTCGCTGGAGTTTATGCGCGTCCGAGCGATTGCAGGCGAGGAAACGGGGTCCAGTCCCTGCGGCAGTACTTGGGGGCTGGAAAACTCGACAATTGCGTGCAAAACGAGTCTCGGACACTCCTCGGCTAGTGGCTGTGCTTCCTCCTACAGCATATGGAGGAACAGGAATTCCCGGAGAATTCCCAAGACATAAAAACATTCCCCTCCGCACTCCGGGCTGCAGGGCCAGCATGAGCGGTGCTTATTCGATCGAGGGCCTGGTGACTATTCCGATACCACGGATTGCGTTTAGAATGCTCCGAGTTAGCGGAATACTCGGAGAGTTTCGTAGTCGTTAAGCAGAGTGCGTTTCCATCGACTCTCCGTGACCCTGACGCTACAGTCTCGTCCGATCGATACTCTTGTGGGGTTCCCGTGAGGAGCGAGTCGTAGCCTATAAGACTGCCGTGCTCGATGGAAATTGATTTTCTCGAATGAACGTCTCGAACCGGAATGACGCCCTCCGAACAAGAGGGGCTCAGATACGGAACAGTCTCCGCTATTCCGCTTCCCGAAGTTGAAAAGCGAAATCATTCGCGTGATCAAGCCGGTTCGATTCTTGATCCAGGTATCTGAATGGAAAGCCGTGCTCGTTCTCTGCATTCGGTTCTGTTGAAGTTTCATTTTCCTCCCTAATCATGACGCAGCATTGATCAATTATCTAACTGAGGGCGACTGCGATGAGCCTCCTGGGCCTGGAGTTACGAATATCGGTTGATTGACGGGAGCTCCGACTTGAATCAGCTAGAACAAAGGCTAGAAGCACGATGGCCTACTCAATCGTTGAACCCCCATTGAAGTGAGAGTGGAGGGGTATCCACCGTGGGAAGCCTTCAGAGCTTGCCGCTTTGGCACCGATTCAAGCCAGTCCTACATTCCCGAAGCCCGATCCGGCTCTTATTTAGTTTGGGGGGGATCGAGAGCCGGAGTCGGGGAATCGAGAGGGGATCCGACAGGTGGAGAAATCTAAGATGAACATCGATACTTTATTCCTCGGAAAAGCACCGCAACTTCTGTTCCGCTGACGGGAAGGAGTCTCCCTGAGGACGAGCTGCCTTTCCCAGTCCCTAGTGGCGCTTGTCGGTGACGGGAGGTGGCCGTAGAGCACGAAGCTCCTCGGTGGAGATCGAACCCGATTCCCCTAATCCGTCAATTAAGGAGCACATTCCGTCTGACTGAGTGAAACCAACGTCCCCATGAACACTTCTCGAAATGTCATGGGTCCTCGAGATCCCCGGCTGATCAGTCTCGGCCGTTTCTCTCAGAAGTAGAGGAATCTGTGGCTCGATGAAAACAGACTCGCAGTCTGGATACATTGTTCGAAGACGTTTGACACTCAAATCGAGCACCCGTGACGATGACTAATGGTATGTTCCTCGTTCATGGAGTCGGAGTGTCCTCCCGTTCATTCACAAGGGGTGGGACTTGGAAGATTTAGGAAGAGACTCCATGGCCGGGGAGCCATCTCTCAGACTTCAGACAGTTTAGGCCTTCTTCCAATCTGCTGGTCGATTGTCAAGACTCGCGGCACTGATCTAGAAATCCGCGAGTACAAAACGATTTTTGCTTTGATGATCATTCTCAATGCTAATCTGGAAAATGACGTGCCAAGGGTTTCCTACTCATTCTGCATTCTGGCGCCGAGCCAGTCCATCCGCCGCTTCTGAATTCACATGGGGACTTCGATCCTACCGAGAAGGATTGCAGCTCGCAGAATGTCCGCCTCGGATCGTCCCGACAGCCGACAGCAATATAAATAAAGATAAGCTGATTGCGAATCGCGACCCAAGCATCGAAGTTTTTCGGATCCTTCAAAAGTTCGGCGAGTCAGATTCCTCGGGACAGTGCAAGCTCGAAAAGATGGAATGAAGACGGAACATCGACGGGGGCAGACAATGAAAGGAAAGATATGCAGCTCAACCTCACGGGAGAGAACGGCCACGGGGGACTTGGATGAGATCGAATCCGTCAAACTCGCTCTCTTTGGGTGCTTCCGTTTGCCGAGGTCAGGAACGAAGCCCTCTAGGCACGAATGGATGGGACGGCCGACGGGAATATCACTCATCGTGGATATTCCGACTATTCAGACAAGAGCAGGCCAATTCTCATTGACCGGGGGCAAGCACGTTCTGCTCTAAGAAACTCGAGAAGAGAGCACTCTTCCGGAGGATACATTCGAATCGAAGATCGGAATTATTCTCTCTACTCATCTTACTCCCGCCTGGCGGTGTGGGGATGTCTGGACTGGACGGCTTATATCGCGTCGTTTGCGAGTTCCATCAGCGTCGGAGGCGAAGTTCCGCTCCCAAGTTGCAGATCATACTCAGAACTCTCTCGAGACTGCAT